TATATATAAAATATGTATGTATGTAAGGATGTTATATATATATATAAAATTTGTTTTCCCTTAAAAATAATTATGAAACTACAAAAAAAATATTTTTTTAACATTATTTTTATTTTTTATAATATAAAAAATTAAATCAAAAAAAACAACATTGAATAAATCATATGTAGACCATAAACATAACATTTTCCAATTTTAGAAAAATATTTTTCCATATTTATATATAAAATTTAATTTTCATATAATTTGTATGTTAAAAACATTAAATAACCTTGCAAGTACACACTCCAAATTTTGAAATTACTTTTAAAGGTAGGATAACCAAACAATATTTAAGTTAATATAAATATAAAGTTAAATATAAAACTTTAGGGGGGCATGAAAATTTCCTAGGAGTACGATAAAATTTCAATTAATAATATAAAAATTTATAATTTAATTGATTCTTTTAAAATTATTTATTTTTTTGATAATTACATATTTTAGAAACAAAAATTTTTGAACTTTATAAAATCAAAATTCCCAAATAAATTTTAGGAAAATTTTAACTATCATAATTGGAAAATGCATTTATAATTTAATTTAATATTATAAATTTTTTTAATTAAAAATAATTTAAATAAATATAAAAGGTGATATTAAAATAAAAACTATTTTTTTTTTTAATTTATTTCTAAAATTCTACAAATCTTACAAATTTGGTTTCTCCTTACTATATGTTTATAAAAACAAAAAAAAAATTAAAAAATTCATGCTCTTACTTAATGTTACAGCAGTTATGATATTCCATTTAAAATATTTTATTGCATTTATGCTATTTTATTTGCTTATATTGAGTTTTTTTATATTGTTAGTTTAATTGAATGGTTTTAATGAGTTCTGTTCATATTATTGTATTTACTAAGTTTACTATGCATTTAGATTATTGTTTTTTATAACCGGTTTTTCATTATGTAATGTAAATATGTATTAAATATTTTATTTTTTACTATTGTATTAATTTTAACTATTGTACGAATATATGCTTACTATTATTACAAAAACCAAAATCTTATATTAAATTTATTTTATAATATTTAAAGACATACATTTATACGTATTGCAAATAATATTTAATACATACTAAAATATAGTTAATTTTAAATGCCAATAAAAGAACCTGTAACTAAAATTGTCGATGAAATTTTAATTAATTGTTGTTTATTTTATTAACAATTTTGTTTTTTTTAATTAATAATTGCAAAATTTCATGTATTTATGTTAATTGCTCTTTTAATTCTAAAATATTAATGAAACAATCTCATGTATTCTAAATTTTATTGCATTTTTATTTTAAATATAAACAAACAAAAAAATTTTTTTTGTACCCATACATAATATAAATGTTTTTTTTTTATTTTATAATTTATTTTATTTTTTAAAAATACATAAAATTAAAATTAAATTATATTTCATTTTAAATATACTTTTTTATATTTTACATATATCAAACTAAAAAACAAATTAAAAAAAATTAAAATTCTTAATAGCTATACAAAAAATTTTTAAAATAATTTTTTTAAATATTTTAGCTTTTTTGTTGTAAACTTATTTGAAGTCACGTATACAAAATTACGAAAATAATAAAAAATAAAATTTTCGAAACAAATTCTTTCGAATTGTTTGGAATTTTTAAAAAATAATTATTTTGGATCTTTTTAAAATTTAAATATATTATTAAATTTATAAATCTCATTTATGAAATGCTTTTATAGCGCTAGCTAAATATAAAATTAGTGTAAAATATTATTGAGAGGGTTTACAATATGAAAACATTTTTTATTATTTAAGGGCTAACCAAAAAGTATACTTTGTATTTGTGTGATTTAGCTTTAGAACTTTTTAAATTATTTTACTTTTCGAAAAATATAATTACTGAATTATATTTCTATTAGCTAATACCTAAAGCTTTATGTAAAATATTTTTACTTAACGCGATTTTTAATTTTTTAGAAATTGGTTTTATGCAATTCTGAAATATTTTATGAAAGCTGTTATAACAAGCTTTAATTAATTTTAATGAAATATTGCAATTTATAATTGACAAAAATTAGTTTATTTGTTAAAATATTAAAATAAAATTAATTTAATTTTTTTTTCAATAAGCTTATTGAGTTTCATATTGCAATAATGCAATGTTTCGAAAAAAACATTCAGCTTGAAAGTAAATTACTAAATCCGTACAATTAAGGAACGCGAGATTGTTTATTATCGTTGTAACATAATTATTAAAGAATCTCTATAATCATTTTAAATTTTTTTTTTAAATTTAAAATTGATAAATTCGATTTCAAATATTCAAAAGAAAAACTGTATTAGTGATATCAAAACTGTTAAAAAAGTATAAAATTCGTTTATAATATAAAAAAAAACTTGAATGAACTCTCAACTTTTAGTTAATGTAAGAAATTAAATTTTCAAAATAATTTTACAAATTAAGATTTTTAATGAATTTATAAATTTCTTTAGATCAATGATAGCATGAAATGTGCTTTACATATATAAAAAATTTTACACTACTCCAAAAATATTTGTGTAATGACTTTTTTTTTACAACAAATTTAATGATAAATTTTCTTTTTCACACTTAAGCAATAAGCTAGCGATTTAAAACAATCTTATAATATTATATTTTCTTGTTTTTTGTATTTTGGTTTTCTTTTATATAAAAAAGCTAAAAAAACTTACAATGCTAGAAAAAAACAATAAAAGTAATAAATTAATAGGTATAAAAAAGTGTACAAAAACTAAATTGGGCTTAAATTGCAGAAATTGAATGCTTCGTTAGGATCGCCTCCCATGAGATATCTACACAGTTTTAATTTTAAATAAAAAATAAAATAAAATGATAAAATTATAAATAAAGAGAAAAAAATATAAAAGTTGTTTTTTCATGCTGCTCATGAATATTAAAACGAATTTTGGAAGTGTTAAATTTGTGCTTAAAATTTTGCTTGGTTTCAAGAATAAATAAAATTTATAAAACAACTGTTATACAAGGGTTAAAATAAAGATTTTGTTTAAAATTAAAAAGTAAATTACAAAGATACTGATATTGAAATGTCTGCGTGGTTTTCATTTTTTGTTAATTATGGCTACATTTCACATAAATAAGTTCACATTATTTAAAATGTTCAGAAAAGTAGCTTGACTTTAAAATTTTGATTCATTACAACCGCAGCAGCAAATTCAAATTAATCAAGAGGTGTAATAGGACATAGCAAAATAATATTGTTAATTGTAGATTCTATAAAATCTTTTTAAAATCGAAAATTAATATTTATGCAAATAATTGCTAATGATTATAATAAAATTTTTTAAATATAAAAATTCTTAAAATTTATGTTAACCATTAACAATATGAAAAGAATAAAAATGCAAATTTTTTAATATTACAATATTTTTTTATCTTCATATGTTAGGGGCTCCAATTCATTGTACATATTATGTAAAAAAAAAATTAATTCTCTATTAGTAAGCTAAATAATATTTGTGAAATTATTCGTAAAAATTAGAATAAATAAGAAAAGTTCAATTAAAAATTAAAAATATAATTTATAAAAAGAAAAAATTAAAAGCCCAAAATTAATGTTAGAATGCAATCTTATAAAATTTTTAAAAAAATCTTTTCTTAAAATACAACTATTACTTTTTTTTAAAAGCTAAATATTATCGTTTTAATTGCGTTAAACATTGACACACATATAAAAAATATATATATGAATATATTGAAAAAATAAAGTTAAATAACTTAAGTAGAATAATTACTAATTCAGAAATTTGATTAAATTTTAAATATTTAACAATTTTAATTAATTTTTGAACAGTTTTATATTTTCAAGGCTTTCCCACTACAGAGACAGTGACTTAAAAATTAAATATTCTGTATGATATATATAATATATATGTTTAATTTAACAAAATATGTATGTAATTACAAATAAATTGGAATGATTTCCAAATTTTTTACAGACTTTGTTTTAAGAAGAAAATAAATGCTTTTTATGGAAATTTTCACAACTGTTCAATCGTACATTTCTATGATTTTGTATTACAACTAAATTGAATGCGTTAAAAGTGATACCCCGAACATTTTAAAAATTTAATTCATCGTTATTAAGCAATTTCAATATAAAATATTTTCTTAATTTATAAGAATAGAAAATAGAATTATTTAATAAATTTTACTAAATAATAAAAAAAAAATATTAAATAATTCTATTTTCTTATAATTTATAAGGATGTATTGAAATAACTCAATAAAGTAGAAAAAATAAAAATGTTTACATTACAAATATCTGTGTATGTAACTATATTTAAATTTATTACATATTATTACATAAATGAATTATGTATTTTGTTTTAAAGAAAATATTGAAGTAAATATAAAAATTTCAGATATTTAATAGTTTGTACAGCAGCTTATGATTTTACCTATAGAATATTTTTATTATGAAAGTTTATAATTATTTTCGCAGTAATTTCGTTCTGAATTTATAAATTAAAAATTTACATACATTTTTAAAATTTTATTACTATCTTCATTTTGGCGTATTAAATTTAATTATTTTTAAATTACAATTGTATTGTTTAAAAATCTTAACAATATAAAATTGTTTAAACAGTTTGATAAAATTTAAAAAACTGTATTTTTTAATTATATATAGAATGAAAAATATTGAACTATAATTTGATATGTAATTTAGTTTTACAATATTTTGTAAAATCAAATTTCTGAATTATTAATATTTCGTTGCTAATGATTATAAATATCTTAAATATAATGTTTTCTTTCTTTTATAATATTTTGTTCATTCTTTAACTATAATTAACGTCTAAACATAAGATCCAATAAAAGTAATAAAAAAAAAAATTGTTCCTGCGTACAAAAATATTAGCAACTTTTCTTTTTTTTTAATAAATTTTCTGTAACTTTTTTTATTTTAAAGCAAAATTTAAATTTCGAATGCTAATGAAGTGATCTTTTTTTTAATAATATTTTTTTTTTTTGTAATTAATTTATAGTTTACAATTGAATTGAAAAATTTTCATCATTAGCATTGGAAAAATATTTAAATTTTAAATGAACGCAACAAAAAAAAAAAAACAGCACAATATTAAAAATTGAAAAAATTGTTAATTGAAAAAACTGAAAACAAAGAACAAATAAAAAAAAATGGAAAAAAAGAGAAAAGAAAATTAAACATTAACAACGCTAGCAGAGCTATCAAAATTATTCAAATCTTTGCTAGCGCTATTTGAAAGCAAATTATTTGTATTTTGATTTGGCAATGATGAATTTTGTGCTACATTTTCAATATCAATGACAGTAGTTGTATTTTTGATTGTTGGTGTTGTTGTTGGTTGCATTAAATTTGTTGCATTACTATTAATAATTCCAGATAATTGTGTATTATTTAAATTTGGATTAACTGGTGTTGTTGTTGTAGTTGTTGTAATTGGTGATAGTTGAGGAGATGGTGATTTTCTATTATAATCATTTGAACTATTAGAAAATATTATATTATTGGCATTAGCAACAGCAGCACTATTATTAGTGATTGTGATATCATTATTTGCATTTACAATATTATTAATATTTAAATTGTTATTTGAAATTGATAAATTTTGATTTGTGTTTGAAATGGAATTAATGATAGTGGAGGAATTATTGGAATTATTTGTGTTATTAATTATATTATTTATATTATTATGATGATTTATGGAGTTGGTGGTGTTATTTAAAAATGTATCAGTTGATTGTGGTTCGTCTAACCTGGTTGGTGTATCGCCCATTGATTCATAAGTAGATTGTTGATATTTTGACTGCATTCGATAAATAACGCCATCACCTTTGCTGTTTTTTTTTTGTTTTTGGTGGCAATGAATTTAATTTTTAATATATATATATATAAATATATTTTTTAAACACGTTTAAAACACGATAAATTTAAAATTTTAATTATTTTTTAAATATTTTTTTATTAATTCATTTAAATATTTTTTATAATATTTTCAATATTTTTATTTATTTTTATATTTATAGTATGATTTATGAAATTATATGTATATATATAAATATATTTTACACATTCCGTTTTTTTTTTAAATTGGTTTATTCAGTTTTTAATTTTGTTTGATAAATGTTTAAAAGAATAAAAAAAATAATAAAATATAAATTATTGAAAGGGTATTTTAAAATAATAAAATTAAAAATATTGTCAAATAAAATTCTTGGAATATTTTCTTAATAATATAATATTAAATATCAAATTTTTTGTAAATCAAAATTAAAAAAAAAAACAATATCTAGAAACACACTAATGCTAAATAAAAATAATTTTATATACAAATGCATAAGTTCTTGTTTTCATTAAAAAGCATTTTTTAATTTGATTTTCAAATGCCAAATTAGTAAACCAAACTAATATTTTAATAAAATGAACGAATTTTGCAAACGAAAACAAATTATAGTTAGTCAATAACTTCTTTTTAAAATTAGTTGAATATTTTTAAAATTATAAAATTAATTAAACAATTTTGAATTGGACGTTAATAAAATGTTTATTTTTGAAGTTAGTAAATATTATTGTTTAAAATCAGACAACGTAACAAAAATTTGTAATTTCTATTTCTATTAAAAATCTATCTGTTACGAAACAAATATCTAAGGAAATGGACTACAATAAAAACCATTTAAAACTTTAATAGAAATTGCTGTTCCTATAAGTGTGATACAATTTAAAGTAGTAATTATTGTATTTCTAAAGCGCGATCTTCTAACTTCCTTTTTTAAATTATTCCACCATGTTGTTATTGAAAAATTCTCAATTTTAGGCAATAGTTGATTCTTATAAAAAATTTAGCATTTTCAATTTAAACTATTTCAGATTTTCAGAACAAATTCCTAACAAATATTTAGGTTTTCTTTAGATATTTGTTAAAAATATATTTTAAAAATATTATTTTGAGACATTTTAAGGTTTTCAAAGTCAAATTCTCTATGAATCTAGGAATAATATTCGACCACTAGTTAATATGTTTATGTTTTTTCAATATGAAATGTTCCAATTTGAGTGCATTTAATTAAATGACAATGAAATTTATTATATTACTAATATTAAAATAAATACTAATTAATATAATTAATAGTGACTGAACTAACAATAGGATTACTATGTAATTAAATTGTATTCTCGAAATTTTGTATTGATAACAGAAAGTGACTGAGTTAAAAAAGAAATAATTATTTTTTAAAAAAATATATAAAAATTATTTTTAAATAATCAAAATCTATTTATAAATAAATTTAAAAAAACAAAGATAATATTATATTAAAAGATGAATAACGTTCTAAGTCTTGTCATTAATATTTATGAAGGGTTAAATATGGTTTCGATTATTTTATAAATTAAATATACAAAAAAAGGCAAAAAATAAATTCGAAAAACTAATAACAAAAATATATTTTTGAAAATGTAAATTAAAATTCTTTGCTTTAAATAAAATTTTCCGTTTTAATTTGCCAAATTAAAATCATTAAGCCAAATTTTAAAAAAGAAATAATTTAAATAATAAAAAAAAATTATCATGCGTTAGTAGTAGTGCTTATAAAAATATTCTTTAATTAACAAATTGCATATTAAATCTAGTAGAACATAAAAATTTTCAAAAAGTAATAAAATAATAATATGATTTTGTTAATTTTGTTTCTTCTTTTAACAATAGATTAAATTTAAATACTACAAACGATAAAAGTTTTACGTACAAAACATTAATGAAAAATTGAAAAATCAAAAAAAAAAAACAATTACCTTGTAAAAATTGGTAAAAACCAAAGTTTCCAATCGTCCCCGAAAACTTCTTGGAAATTGGCAGTTTTGCCAAGATTATAACCATTTTTATCTGGACCATTGCCTCGAAATATCGGTGCACGGAAGGCCTCTAAAAAAAATCAAAAAATAATTACATTGGTCCATGTTCACAATGAGTATGGATAATACAAAAAATTTTTTTTATATTTGACATAGTTTTTAGGAATTTTATAATTACCTAATGTTGTTCTATTATATAGTACCAAGTATATATGATAACCAAATAAACTAACTAAACTGATTGCAAACATCACAGCTACGAAAAATAAAAATAAAATATGAAAACGACCCATCCCAGTTATATTGAGTTCGTTCTAAATTTTGGAAGAAAGAAAAATAAAAGAAATTTAATTTACAATTATTTTAATTACGTAATACTTACTACAAACAGTAGAAAGATTTTTAAATAAAACAAATCAAACTACCATTTTCTTTAAAATTGAACACTACTTTACATTTCCATTTACCTGCCAGAATTTAATAAAATTCTCAAGTGAAGTAATTGCCACGTATATACAATATAATAGCGCATATCCTAAGAATAAAACGAAATATTTATAATTTGTAAAATTAACGCAGTTGTTAACCTAAAACCCAAATAAAAATGAAATATGAAAACAAATTTTATAAAATATTCCTTATTAAAATATTTTTTGAATGTAAATATTTACCCAAGGACAGTGATGATCCATTTTAAGTACACAACATCCGCAAACACTACAATGATGAGCTCTATCTGGTTTTATTATTTTACATTTATCGCAAAACCTAACAGCTCCGTTTGAAGTTCTTTTATTGAAATGAAAATCATGTCATACTCTAAAGTTATTCCAATGGATATAAGAAATATTTACCTATTGCTTACTGGTAAATCTCTAGCATAGTATTCCAATATTACTTTTAATTGATCAATGGTTTCAGCTTGTATCAATTTATCAATTTCACTTTGCGGTAATCGCCACTAAAAGAGATTTTGCACTTTTTTTTATTGAATATAAAATGTTAAATAGCAAATTTATGCGTTAAATATTAACAAATAGATGCATTCTTGATAACAAGAGAACTTTTAAAACATGTTTATTTCAAGAAGCCATTTTGGTTCGCTTTGTTCTTTTGCATGTACAAAGTTTTGGATATTCGAGAATCAATAAGGTATAAAATATGAGAATAAAAAAACTAAATTTCACAATAGAATAAAATGTAAAATATCAAAACTAAGTACGGACACAGTCCGAGTTTTTATATATACTTTCTACATTTTTATATTATGTAAGTACCTTCCTACCTATATCAATTTTGTTACTCTTTGCGTTTATAAATAAAGAAAAATTAATCATTAAAATAATAAAATATACAACATTCCAGATACATTATTAATCGCATCATGAAAACATAAGCTGGAAAAACCACTACAATTATATTAAATTTCACTTTAACTATAAAAAGACAAAAAAAAAAGAAAAAAATACGAGTAATACAATGCTTATGCACTAATCGAAAGCTAACCTACAAGAGAATTTTTATAAGATAAGATAAAGTTAAAAAATAATCTTTCATAAATCATCTTTCCAATTTGAATAAATTTTTCATTTTGCATACTTAAGTGAGAATTTATGAACTAAGAACGTCTTCGCTTCAACTGTCTTGCTTCAAAAACAAACAATAATAAATACCTCACCCTACTTTCCAAATTACGCCACAATTTTCTTCTTAACTAAATTCGTATATCTTACAAGTCAATATAAAGGAACAACTAATATATTACCTTTGGTGGAACTGTTCCAATAGGTGTACATGTTGTCTTCCAATAAGACCACAAAAACAGAAATCCAATTATATGATAAAATAATAAAAATATTACTTTAACAAAAACGCTGTCAACTGATTCTAAAATTAAATATTAAGAGTATATTCGTAATTTTACATTAAGTAACTTATTTTTTTAATTTTATTTATTACTTACTTATACATAGTTCCACTACATAAGCATAATAACCTAAAACATTTTAAAAATGAATAATTAAATCAAAAAATACAACCCACTGAAATTTATTACTTACTCCACGCTACAAGGGCTAATATAAACAATACAGGAATCCATTTTAAACCTTTTATACAACTAGCACATCGATTATTTCCCGACCGATCAAAATTTCCCATTCTATGCATTAGTTACCGTAATTCAATTATTTTTAATTTTAAATATTTAACTAAATTAATCATAAATATTGTTTTTTCAGTAGCAAAAATTCATTTTTCTTTTCACTATAATCTCAACTAGCAGCGAATGACATATAACTGACGTTCATTAATCAATACAAATTAAATTCACGATAGTTAGAAATTTGACAATTTCTTAAGAATTTTGTCTATGGTATTGTGTCAATGATAAGTATTTTTTTGAATTTTGAAAAATTCTTTTCCTTAGGTTTTTTGAAATATTAAGTAAAAAGCATCCAATTGGGTCAATCCAAAAAATCACTATTTTTCTACTTTGTACTTTTATTATGATATAACCTACTTGTATTGAAGTGGAATACTTATACCTAGTTTACTATAGATTTTGTGCTAATAATAAAACAATTTTTTTTTCCTTTTTTCAAAAAATTAAGTTCAAGAAATTAAAATTGACAACCGTTACTTTGTTGATCCTTACCAGGTTATACATTAGACTAAATTTACGATTTAATTTACAAAATCTGATGAGCGTTTACACATTAGATTAATTTTAATGGCAGATATTTGACAGCAATGTGTTAAATATTAAAAAAAAATCAGCTGATAGCAGCAAAACTATTTAAAAAAAAATTTTTCAATTTCGCAATGTTATTCTTAAAAAACTAAGAGAAAATCTGATGATAATCGGATATATTTCTATTTTTTTCATGAGATTTTGTTTGATGTCAGACTTTGATTACATATCAGATTTTCATCAGATTCAGATTTAACAGATCTACGCTGTTAATAATTTTAATAAAGGCCATCAGGTAATACTGTGCATCTAAATCCGGAATATCAATGATACTCTTGAAAACACATTTTAAATAAACTTCATTGACAGCAATATTTACCAGTTTAAATAACTGTTTAATGGTTTATTTCAGAATTATTTACGGCACAAACCTAATTTTCATTGTTACGCAAATACACTTAAATAGCAAATCATAAATTATCACATGAAATTCTATTAATGTAGTTTGAATGTTATGTTATATAACTTGTTAATCTGGAAAGAAAGCACATTATGATCCAATAAAACTATGATCGAACAAAGTACTTTCATCTCAAATTGTGAAAAATTAAACCTAAATATTATTTTCTCGTACACTCAAAATGAATTAATCAATTTTACATGCAAAATAGGTTCATTAATTTAAAAATTTTCAGTATTAAATACGTATATGTATGTGCTTGTCATTTTATGTAATTAATACGGATTCGTACGTGCTTGCTTCTACAATGTAATTTAAAACTTTGTCACAAGCAGAAGTGCAAAATACTTTGACATTAACATTTATGTTATGATACTTGATAGATTACGTTATAATATCTTGTAGGTACTTATACAATATTTCTTGTAGGTACGTCAAAAATAATTGTGCATAGAGTTTGATTGGTGGAAAAAAATTGACAATTAAATTGTGAATGGATTATTGGGAAATTTTGTGATAAAAAAAATAGAATGTCAAATTTTCTCTTGAAAATAAAATAAAAAACAAAAAAAAAGTATAATCGAAATATTTTTTACTCAGTTCATCGCGAATTTCAGGTGGTGTTGAACAAGTTTTTTTTCGTGAAAGGTTATAAACGAATTGGATTTTTTTTCCAACAAAAAAAAAGGATTTAATTAATTTTTATCAAAGAAGAAAAAAATCAAATAAAAAAAATTTTTCAATAATAAATTTATAATTTTTTTTTTATTTTTTGAATAAAAAATCATAATTTGTGCTTGAATTTGAAATTTTTTTCATAATTTTATTTTGTACGTATATGGGTAGGTACATTTTTACTTACATCCATTTATTGCAATAATTGTAAAAATAATACAGAATTATAAAAGGAAAATTATTTGAACAAAGTATGTAGGTACCTGCCTATAAAAAATTGGATTAATTCTAAAAAGAAAAAAAATATACAAAAAATTATAAAGGAATACTAAATTCGACCAGATACACAACCACCACATTTTGAGTTTTTATTCTCTATATCTACAATATTTGTAATAAGCATGTACATATGAATATATTTTATCCTATATATTCGGTCCCCTTCTATGATAATTTGAATGAAAATACTTACTGTTATGTACCTACATATGTAAATCAGATTATGTATATACATATGTATATGCTAGAATATATTCTTAGCTAGTAGCTATTATATTTCATTATGTTTGTACCTACCTATCTACCTATTTTGTATTTTGTATACACATTCCATTATCACATTTTTCTTACATACGTACACACATAATACAATATATTCATAATACAGCTTTGAAGCTATTAAAAAATTGATTATATGAAATTTAAAATATCAGTCACCTATGATTTAAATGTAAAAGATTTTGAAAGAAAAAATTATCTAATTTTTTTTGACGTGTAATTAAAGAAAATCCTTTAAATTTTACGCACATCAGTCAGTCCAGACCAGTCAGTCAGTTTGTGCTAAATTATTCATTAAATTTACTATTCTATTGTCAAATCAAATTTTATTTAAATAAATAAAAGTTTGCCAGACGAAATTTAGCTGGTCTAGTAGTTCTTAAATTGTAAAAAAATAATTATTTTGTAATTTTCGTGAAAATCAGAAGAAAAACTAGGGAAAACTGTATTTTTTTTATGTAAAGAAATCAATACCTTAAAGAGTGATTAATTTTTTTTTTTCATTTTTTTCTCAGTGGAAATTTTATATAAGAAAATTTTAGTTTTTTTTTTATATTTGCTCTGCTTAGTGTGTTTTAATTTTTTTTTTGTAATTCTGATATATTCAGTATTTTTAGTTAAGAGAGAGAGAGAGAGAGAGAGTGAAAATTCAAATAAAGAGAAAAACTAAATAAAACGAGAGTAAAAAAGGCAAGCGAAAAAAGAAAAAAAAAAAACAAAAAAATAAAATAAAAAGTGAAAATCATATCCGTGCGGCGTGTTCCAAAAGAAAATTAGTGATAATAAAAAAAAACAAAAACAGAAAAATAATTTTCCATTTCTATACCAGTTTTTTCTCAAATCAAAACACTAGTGCAAAAAAATATTTTTTAGTTGTTTTTGTTTTTACTATCTTTTATCAAAGAGAAAAAAGAAAATTGTAATCAAATTCCCCAGAAAAAAAAAACCAGCTGTAAAAAATAGCCGGAATTTTTTTTCCATTTTTTTTTTTAAATCAATTTTAGTGTTGCGATACCCGAGTGTGTTAAGATTACGTTACACATTTTTGTTTTATGACAGGCACACATTGTCTATCAACTAAAAAATAATTTTCTTTTAAAATTTATTTAAAAAAAAAGCAAAGAGAAGCAACTCCTTTGGATTTTAAGGATATTAGAAGAACAAAAAATAATCAAAAATGTAAGTACACCCACCAATACCTTTTTTATTTTATGTACATAATTATAAAATTTCATTTTTGTTCTATTAAGAAATTGGCCTTTAATGGTTCGAATAAATATTTTATTCGATATTTTCCTGTGTATAAAAAAAAAAAACCCAAAAATATACTCATGTTGAGCTCAATATACTCATGTATGTATGTATGTATGTATTTAATATCCTTAAAGTAAAAATAAATACCTTAGCATGTGTGTGTAACTACAAAATTCTCTGTATGCTTAAAGCTAAATATAATACATTTATAAAATTTTAATAGAGATAAAACTGGCAAAATCTTAAATATATATATAATTATTCCATACCATCATACAATAAAAGTACAGACGTATAGTTAAGATGACATAATTCACACACAAATGCATTACGTTGGGAAAATGTACATGCATTAAGACTTCTCATATTTAAATGTGTTCGAATTAATTATTTGTATTTGCATAGCTATAATTTTGTATGCATGTATATTTTTTTTTCAATGAAAATTGTAAAGGGAATTCAACAGGACGACAACTTTTATTATGTAAAATGAAAAAAAAGAACCGTTATTTTTACAATTGAACACAATCACATTTTTTTTTATATAAATACACCAACACATATAAATACGGTTTTAAGTGTGTTTGAACAAATAGTAAAATGATGTACGTATATATGATAACTGTTTTAAATTTTCATAAGAAAAGTATTTCGATTACGACGATAATAGAGAAAGAGAAAATAAATTTTTTTTCGATTTTTCTCTTTTTTGACAGAATAATGAGGCAAGTTTTAAACAAAAATTTTTATTAAAGGATTAAGGATAAAAAGTTGAATGTTCATTGTAGTTACTCACTACTTATACGAATAAAATTCTTAGTCAACTTAAGTTGACTTTGCGACAATATTTTGAAAGTACTTACATATACAATTTTCAAATACATATTTTCCAATATTCGGACATTTTGAGATTGAGAACGACTAAAAAAATTTGTACAAAAATAACTTGAGAAATTTCAATTTACTTATATAAGGCAGTTATTATTTTTATTTATTAAAAACATTTAGGTATAATTCAATGTTATATAAAAAAAAATTTAATAAAAAATGTAGAAAAAAACACAATGTAAGAAAAATATATATATAATATACAAACTCACACAAATATATAAACATATACTTACTGAATAGGAATGTTAAATATAATTGTCCAGGATTGTATTATTTTGTAATATCGTAGTGTTTATACAAATTATACCTATGTGTATAAGATCATGTTTTATAAAAATATTTTTCTAATACATTTAAATTATTTCGTACGTGTGTATAATACTTTAGAATAAAATTGAAATACTTAAGTCAAATATTTTTGACATAGAATTTGTTTCATATTTTGTCAATAAATAATTTCTTGTTAGAAAATTGACATTTTACTAAATTGACTGATTTAACTAAAATATTCGATTCCGAAATTTCTTAAATTATTTTTAAATAATTATGAGTTTACATTATTAATATTCGTTTGTAGATAGATGATTATAATAAGTAAGTGACTAAGTCGGTAAGTAAGTATGTAAAAAAATCTTACATTCAAGAAACTATTTTTGAACTCAAATATTTTATTTACATAAGCAACTAGGTATTTATTTAGTGTAACAAATCTTTTATAGTGTTCTTAAGTGCTTATAACTATATTTTGTTTTTTTTTTAATATGAATGCAAATTTACAAGTTTATAAGACTTAAAAGTATTAAATTACATGTAATTATGTTCTAATTTAAATTTCCAACACAATGTTAATTTTTTTTTTGAAACCTGAGTACAAACCTAGTTAAATCTAGCATTGTCAGCTTAAAATATTTTTCAAGTAAAATTCATAAAAGTGTAAAGATTAATTATACGTTTATATCTTAACCCCTTCATACATAATGATCTACAAATATTTTTTATTATAATTTTTTTAGTTAAAAATAATTATAAGTACTTACTTAATTCAACTACTTATCATAAAATTTGAATATTCGAGTATACTTATATAACGATTTTTATTACCAAAATTAAGAAAACAAGTTAAATTTGACATAACAGTTTGTTAAACTATAAAGAGAGAATTAAGAATTTTTGATTTATGAATCTAGACATAATAGTGCATAAAACGAATTGTCAAATTTTTGAATTCATCTTTCAAAGTACTATCATCGTTTATGTACTGTATTCCACTATATTTCTACTATTGCAAGTAGCCGTCCAATTCAGACTACTTTAGTAGAACAGTTTTTCGAAATATATTTAAACGAGATTAAGAATAAGTATATTTCTGGTCCTTATTTTGTTTAACAAACATGCTAAGGTTAATAAATGAAGCCAGCTAAGCAAATGTTAACAAATTTTTTAAAATATTTTATAAGTATTTTTTTTCCCAATTCTCTAAATCAAATAAGGTTCTTATTTACTTAAATGATAAAAAAGAAAAAAATATAATAAAATTTTTCTGTTTTTATTTATTTATTTAAACATTAAGTATAGCAAGTACCTAGTGTGCAAGTACCTAGGTGTATACTTAGTTACTTGTATTGTATATGTCTATGTATATTAGAATAAGTGCTTAGGTGAGTGAATCTAAAATAGACAAAGTAAGTAAATACAATTTAAGTTATTTACAAACCTTACTTACTGTAAGTACCGCCTTTGTCATTTATCCTTATATTTCCAAAAAAATGTAAGAGAATTTAATGTGAGCGCACGTATACAGTTTTCATATCTCCAAAAAATAAAAATTTGTTTAATTGAGAATGCCATTTAAAGTCACAAAACCATCATTAATCAGTGACAGTTCTTGTTGTAAGCAATAAGGAAGTGCTTATACTCATTTGAAAGTTTGCAATACTATAATAAGTACATCTAGCCAAAGCGTCAACACTTCACTCTTTAATCATTTATAATCAAAGATAAATGCATTTTTCGGACTTCATTAAAAACTTTTAAGAAGAATTAATATTAAATATTACTGAAGAACCAAAACAAAATCATATCGTATTTCATACTTTTTTGATATTAGATCAGTACTGAAGTGATTTGTATTTCCTAAATAATGAAATAAACCGCTTATAAAGCGTCACTCATTTTTTTTTAAATACATACAGTGAGGTCTGAAGTTTTTTAGATAATGTGTGATATTTAGTGCTTTGTAATTAAATGAGCTAACATTTACCTTCAAATATATTTTTACATAAACTTTTAAAGTTTAAAACACAATGTATACTCGTAGTTTAAAAGTGTGTAACATGTCCAGCACATAAAACTAAAGTACTTACTCTAATATACTCTCTTTTATATTAAGAAGTATTTGATTGAGAGTTATGCAAAATTTATTGCGGTAACAACATAAGTTTATATATACTTTTGTAATAGAAAATACTTTAATATTCAATAATTGATATTTAATTTTATAAATTAGTTATACTTACCATTGTAGAACAGAATATTCATTCAAAATGCTGTTAAAGCTGAAAATAACTGTAATTTACTCCGGGGTAATTTGGAGAGTTACGTACGTTTGCAAAAGGAATATAAGTACACAATTTTATAGCCGTAATTTTTAATTGTAACTTTTTCGAATTTTTTCGAAAATAAATTTTTGGTGTCCCTATTGCTTCAAAGTTACAATCTTGCAAGCGATGTGTGTCAATAATTATAGAGCCCACTGTCCACATTTTACTTGTAAGTATTTGTTATTTACAAATAAAATTTAAAATTTTTAAAATTTTTAACGTTCTTGTTATCGCCTTCTCATTTTACTTTCAAATCAAAATTAAAATTATAGAAGATATCATGTAAAGTATCATGTGTCATGCGAGCATTTGTCATTTAAGAAACCAAGTAATAAATAAGAAAATAAAACTGAAGTGACAAATTGTATGTAGAATTGATTTGAAAATTATCATTTTTACTTTTACTTGTTTTATAACGAATGCAAGCCTTAAGTGTGTCACGGAAATTGAATTTAAAAAAAAAATATTTTTTTTTGCTTTTTAAAATGATAATTTTTTATTTTTAAAAAAAGCAATTTTAAATGAACCCAATTAAATTTTTTATTATCTCGAGCATGTTATCCAATTTTTGTGATAAGTTATCCAGTATAAATGTATGAAAAATTTATCTATATTAATTTTATTTATATTATACAAAACATTATTTAAGAATAAAGTAAAAATAAGTATTAATATCATTTTAAAATGACAAAACTCACAAATTTCTACATCAAAGTATGAACTTTGCAGAATTAAAAGAATAATTGTGTACAGAGGTCTAGTTAAGAGGAAAAAAATTATTGCTTCTGTAAGTAGCTATACAATACAGGTCAGCATCATATAAAGCTCAATATTTGAAGTTTCGTGTATATAATTTTGACATTTATTTTTAAGATAATTTCATCGATTTGCATGCAAGTGGTATGATTAATGTTGTTCTAATTATTACATCAACTTGTGGTACATAGATCTACTTATGTCAAGTCTTGATGATCTTAGCTTAAGATCTAATGAATATTTGAAACATAGAATACTCTTGGTATGATGTCTTGGCGTTTTTCACAGTGTATATGTAATATGTTTCCTGAACGAATTACAATATCTATACCTATGTTTTCATTCCATTTCTCTTCAAACAATTCGGAAATATGGTAACAATCTCAGCACTAGTATATAACTCTTGTATTTAGTCTTAAATGAGTTTAAAAAAAAACCTTTTCATAGATAAACAGAACTAAATATTTGTTTTTATAAAAGCAAAAGTTAAGGGAACAATTAAGTTAGAACCGTAATATTAGGTTGTTTAAATAGAAGTAAGTAACAAATTTTTTTTAGAAAAATTTTCACTTTTCATTTTTCGTATATGTACGCACGTTTACTTAGTAAATATTTGTTTTTGTTACTTTTATCACTAAAAAAACTAAAAAGTTTTTATTTGAAACAAAATTAAAATTT